TGAGTCTGCAACTGGCTTCTCAGGAGGCTCTGTGCTTCCAGCTGTGGTAGCAGCTGTGGATCTGGCTCTGGAACTCTTGCTGAAACAAGCTGACAAAGGGCTGATTACAACATGGAGTTCAGTTTCTGGTTGGATTAATTTTCCTTTTAACACACTTTGGTTATGAAAAGTTTGCTCATTTACCGTGTTTGTGGTTTTATATCCTGCACTTCACAGTCATTGGGCTGGTGTGGTGATTATCACCATTCCTAGTGACCTTGATCGTGGGGACCTTACATTGTCTATATCATTTGTGGAACACTGCAATTTGGTTTTGGCTTGCTGAAAGAAATTGAAAACTCTCTTCCTCTTCCTTCTCCCTCCCCATCCCCAGAGACTGTTCAGCATTTTTGTCCAAAATATTACACAGTAAAGTTGTTGAGGTTTTGTTTTTTAATTGTTTTTATATGCATAGAAAACAATTTTAGGAGAAGACTGAACGATACTCACCTGCAGTGAAATCTGTACAACAGGCAAGAGACTGGTTAAACTCTGCCAGGTGAAACAAGTAGAGAACTTAATTTTATCACTTTTTGTTGAAGGGAGGAATTCAGATTTCACAGAACATGAGTGAGCAAAACAGCATTTACCTTTGTGTTCCTAAAGCAGCTGTACAGATACATTCACTTATTGCACATCCTTTCCACCTCTGGTTGCATGGGCTCTTTTCTTGATTGCATGCTAAAGACATAGTTAAGCTACTAAAATGTCTGGCCTTGATTCAGCAGAGATTTAAGCACATACTTAGAATTAAACACTTCCATTGCAGTCTGCTTTGTGAACTCCCAGATATTTGCTTCCATCTACTCTCATACTGTGGAGTGTCTCTGGTGAATATCCTTAGATCAAGACAGTCTTTTTGTTATGAAGTCTTTTTCTTTCAGTCCCACCATCTTTTTAGAAAACAGCTGTATTCTCCAACTTAATTGAATCCCCAAATTAAATCCCAGTTGCCTCTGTAACTCACTGCTCAAACTCTTGCCTCTTTCCCTCTGCTGCTTTTCTTCACATAGGATCCTGCTTTTTCTCCTAAGGAAAAATAGATACAGTATGTTCTTCCTTCTTTCACTCTCTTCTCCCTCCCTTCCCCTAATCCTTTCTCTTTCTCTCCCACTGTCAGAGCAGCAGGAGTTTCTTGTCTACTTTTTGTGTGTACCCCTTCCACTTGCCCCAGTGACCCCATGTTCTGTTCTTCCTCTTATTTCTCCCCTCCCTTATTCTCTTTCTTAACCTCTCACTGTCCTCTGGCTCTTTTCCACTGCAGCATAAGCAAGCGTTTGCCTCTTAAAAATTGCACTTTTGACCCTACTTGGTTCTTCATATCATATCTCATTGCCTATCTCTTCTTCATTCCTAAGCTCATTGAAGGCGCTGTTTATAATTACTGTCTGGAGACTCTCTTCTGTGATTCCCTCCTATAACTCCTACACTTTGGCTTCTGTTCCTTGCTTGCAACTGCAACAGCTCTCACCAAACTCCCTGATGACAAGATCTCAGAAACAGTAGTCTATCCTCATTCTTCTTGACTTGTCAGTAGTGTTTGCTGCAGTTGACCAGACTTCTTTAAACTTGTGTCTTTTGTTGCTTTCTGGGACTCTGTCTTGTTAATTTTTTTCTTTCTAAGCAGTTCTTCACCATGTTCACAGAATCACAGAATCGTCTAGGATGGAAAAGACCTTGAAGATCATCCAGTCCAACCATTAACCTAACATTGACAGTTCCCAACTATACCATATCCCTCAGCGCTATGTCGACCCTACCCTTAAACACCTCCAGGGATGGGGACTCCACCACCTCCCTGGGCAGCCCATTCCAATGCCCAACAACCCGTTCTGTAAAGAAATGCTTCCTAATATCCAGTCTAAACCTTCCCTGGCGCAACTTGAGGCCATTACCTCTTGTCCTATCACTTATTACTTGGTTAAAGAGACTCATCCCCAGCTCTCTGCACCCTGCTTTCAGGTAGCTGTAGAGGGCGATGAGGTCTCCCCTCAGCCTCCTCTTCTCCAGACTAAACACCCCCAGTTCCCTCAGCCGCTCCTCGTACGACCTGTGCTCCAGACCCTGCACCAGCTTCGTTGCCCTTCTCTGGACACGCTCGAGTCATTCAATGTCCTTTTTGGAGTGAGGGGCCCAAAACTGAACACAGGAATCGAGGGGCGGCCTCAGCAGTGCCGAGTACAGGGGTCAGATCCCTTCCCTGTCCCTGCTGGCCACGCTATTGCTGACACAAGCCAGGATGCCATTGGCCTTCTTGGCTACCTGGGCACACTGCTGGCTCCTGTTCAGCCGGGTGTCAATCAACACCCCCAGGTCACCCCCACGATGTTCTAGCCTGCATCTCTTCCACTTTGCATTACTTTTGCTATAACAGACTCAAATTGTATCTCTTGTTTCTAATAAGAATATAGCAATGTGAAATGGAATTCATATTTTATGTCCTCTGTTAAAACTTATCCTGATACGTTTGGAGTGCATTTCACTTTTAGGGCCTCATTTTAAGAATTTCACTTTCTTTGTAATTGCCATCAAGTGAGTCCCATTTCTATTGCTTTTGTCCTTTCTCTATGGAATCCCAATGGTTTTTTCTGTATTGGCAGTACCAAGAAATTTAATGTTATCACCACATCTCTAGTTTTTATGCCAATTGATTAAATGAAAATACTAGATAAAATTCTGCCAAGCTCATCCTTGATGAACTCTACTGAAAAACAGTTCTTTCATTCTCCACAGGACTTTGTTTTCTTTCTGGTAGGAAGTTCTTTATCTGTCAAATTCTGTCAGTAATCCTTATTTTCTCCAGTTTAATATTAAATATCAGATGCCCAAATAGATTATCATATTTTCTCTGTTTAAAACATCAGTCTAGTCACAATGGTGTAAGCATGCAGAGAGTTCATAATTTCAAACAGATTTGTACATTGTAGTAGGCAGATTCCTCAGGTCACTACATACTTTCATACCCCAGCAGGCCCAGATGGATTACGTAAGCTCAGGCAAGTTTCTCCTCACTGGTGTGAACCACAGGGAGTATTCCCTTGTTCTCTAGATACCTTTTGGTCTGCTTTTACTTTTGTTTGCCTTACTCCATTCCATATGTCATTCATGCCACATTATCACTACCAAATGCACTGTCTTCTTGATCTAACATATGTAGCTGTTAGGAACATGTAAAGATATATGTAATTAAAGGGAACGTGCACATACATACTGTATGTTTCGCATTTACTTTGTATTTGATACTGTTCTTGCTCACTTCAGAATAAGCGCTGTGGTTTATGTTGCAAAATAATTTCAGTAAAAGACTATCTCTAAGCACTGTAGTGTTGTGTAAAAAAGCAGTTCTTTGGGTGTGAAATTTTTTGTGCTTGGTTTCATTTAAAAACCTGTGTATGCATAAAAAATAAGGAAATTATCCTAATTGTTTTTTAGTTATGTGTCACTGAAAAGCAGGGCAGTGTTTAACTATTAACACAGTACCTACTTTTTTATCTTTAATGTAGATAAGAAAATTTAGAATTTTGACATCTAACTTGGGGGTCATATTTATTGAAGTATATGGCCAAGTTTCAAAAACCTCGTTTTCATAGTGACATACAAATAGTTGAAATCATGCCTAGTAGGCATCTGGACTAAAACTATGATCAGGTTGTAATGGACCCAACCACTTTTGTCGAAACAAAATTAATTTCCAATTCTTTGTCAGGGCTAATCAAGTTCTTTTTAGGTTCAAAGTTTGCTTCATTCTTACTGCTACTTCCAGGGTGCCAACACCATAACTTCATATAAGGAATGGAATATGTTCTATGCATTAAAATGTTGACATTTTTTTCACAGTTTGTTTTTGCCTGTTACTCATCCTAATTTCACTTTCTATCAGTTTCTCCCTCAACTGCAAAGAAACAGTACATCCTTTACCCTACAGACCTTGACTACATACAAACTGGCATCTGTTCAATCCCATTTGCATTATACAGTGTATACTTTTACATTATATCCTTCAGTGTTGAGGGAAAGGGAATGATGGGGGATTGTTGAAGGCTCTTGTTCTTCTGTTAAGCAGTTGAGCAACCTCCCACTGGGATTAGGACTCTGCCTGCCTGCCTCTGAATCTGTTGTAAATCCCTCTACAGCCACACTTCTTTTGATTTTGAATGAGTGTTTCTGTTTAGTTCAATCCTATTCCTAATCAATTTAATATAAACAACTAGAAGTTTAATTGGAATTTCATGGCTCTTAATTGTCATTAATAAGAAGAAATTTAAACCAAATTTTGTGCTAACACAACATTAAGACTGAACAATGGAGGCGTGGTTATGGCTTTCAGTTTTTCTGCTTTGTGGAGTCAATTGCTACTGACACAGTCTGGCTTCTCAGTTTCTTCTTGTCTCAAGGCATACCTAAACTACAGCTTGCAATGGAGCTGTAATTCTTCTGGGCCACTAGGACAGAAATGCCAATAGAGAGATAGAGGGTGAAAGCTAACACAGTTCTAATGACTTATGAGATGGTGGTGTTTTTATAAGTTGCTTGTGTCCGTGTGTTGCTCTCTATGATCGAGGTAGCTAGCACAAGGAAGAAAATTATACCTTCCCCTGAATACCTTGTGTGGGCTAGGCAAGGCAAACTGTGAGCTAGGTCTTACAATTTAAGAAGGAAATACCAAGAAAAATTGAAGACTTCTGAAGCAGCGTTAGCTTGACTGCATTGCCAGTCCTTTATAACTTGTGGCATATGTTGAGCATAAAAAAAGCTCTAAATCCCTGTTCTGTAATTTAAAAAGAAAATTGATAAACTTGCTGTTTAAATCTGATGTAATTTTAAGTTTTCATTCAAATATTTATTCTACATTGACTGGCTTAAGTATTCAAAATCATATATTTTTTTTTAATTGTAACATGGATGGATACATATATGCATATATAGAACAGAAGTATCTTTATGTGTTATTTTTATCGTAGGTATGTGTCATGCGCATTGGGATGCCCATACGAAGGAAACATCATACCAGCCAAAGTGGCAGAAGTAAGAGTGAACTTCTGGCTTGTCTTTTTAATGAATCAAAAATACATTTTAAAATGTCTATAAGTAATGTTCTCTATTTAATCCTAAAAAGATCTTTAATGCATAAAATTTAAGGAAAACAAACACAAAACATAGCTAATACTAAAACTGGGTGCATAATCTCACTGAACTATATGAAGTCAAATCTAAGGAAAATAGTAAGTTCTGAATGTTACCAAAAAAATATTATGTGCTGTTTCCTCCGACAAGAAGGTAAGGAAGTACTTAAGGAAATAGACTCAAGTGCGTATGTTGGTGGACCATGTTGTATGAGGTGATTTCCAGCACAACCTCTAGAAAAGGGTATCTGCTTTTAAATCTATTTTATGCTGGGATAAGCATACTGTGCTGTCAGCTGGTAGAGCCACTGCTACAACATTTTGCTTCTGGTGAATGTCATGATTGACAAATGAACCAAAACTCATCCTCAGCATGATTTCCTACTACTAAACTTACTCTACTGCTATGGTGGAATAAGCTGTACCTTCCCTTTCCACTCCCTTCTCTCATTTAGGATAAAGGAGAAGAAAGATGATGTCTTAGTCCAGCCTTTTTTTTCCAGCAGAGAAAGAGATGAGTGAAGCGTGTTAAATTTTTCAGGAAGGCAAAGAGGGCATGAAAGCTGAAATGAACAGAAGAACATGGAGAGAATTCAAGAATCACAAGGCAGAACATACTGGCTTTCCTCCTGGAGAAAGACTTCTGTGTTACACTTAATCACCTGGTTTTGGTGAACTAGCAGAATTTCCAACCCACTTGTCCTTTGTAGCTCTAGCAGCTAGTCAACATTTGTCTGATATATTGCATTCTACATGTGTGGCTTTCAGGTCCTGTTCTCCTGCATCTTCTAGTATACGTGGCAGATGAAACCTGTGACAACACTTCTCCCACAGCAGCCACATATACTCACGCTCTTTGAAAAAATTAACTAAATTGGAAGGTACTCATAAATTAATTTGCTTTAGTATGAAGTGAAAGTTAGGAGTTACACAGCTTTAGTTAGAGCAGTGATGACAGATTCAGCTGTGCTGTTGGTAAATTGCTGACTGCAATATCATGTTCCCCAACAGGCTTCTATCCATGTGTTGCTTGTTTTTTAACTACTCTCCTTGCACAGAAGAGGTCCTTTTCAGTTTGTAGTTGGAGTACTCCTTAATGTTACAAACATGCAAACTTTTACTCACACAGATATTTTATTTTCTGTCTTCATCCTAGTGTGTGTCTTCTTGTGTACCTACCTGTACACCATCATGTATGTGTTTAAGAATAAAAGCTGCCTCATTAAAGTTACTGAGGCCCTGATTGAGCAAGCACTGGTGTTTATGTAGAAGCATCTGATTAGCTGTTTATGGATTTTACATAAACACTACTATTCATCCTTTGCTGAATCAGAATTATCAAAATACTGGCCATGTTGCTAAACCCTCTCAGAAGGCTGCCTCTCAGGTCATCATCTTTCTCAGGATGGGAATGTGTGACTCCCTTGACTGTTCACTGCGATCAGCAGCTTTGATTGAAAGGTTTAGACTGTTTCTTATGCAGTCAATGACAGTGACCAATTTTTTTTTTTTTTTTTTTTAAGCAAAAGATTATTTTAGCTGAAGCAAAACCAATTAGGAGAGGTGGCTCATTAACTAGACTACAGGCATTTTGGGTTTACTAGGTATGTAACTGTTTTACACATAGTAATCTAGTGAGTTCAGACTTCAGATGCCTTCAGACTTCTAGAATACATCTGGTACACCCATATGGTTCTTTATAAAAACCCCCCACATTTCTCATCTATTAAAATAAACTACATAGTCCTTTTTTATCACTCTGCTTTTTCTTGAAATGGAGACACTGCTTAACCATTTATCATCTTGTCTTTTTTGGATTTCAACCTTAGGCAAATAAGTCTTGAAAGTTGTTGGAAGCACCTTATATCCTTGAAGGCAGTTGTCTTCCACTGTCTTCTAGTCATATACTTGGCTGGTTTTATTTTTCTGCCTGCTTCTTTCTCTCCTTAGCTTCCTTTTAACCTAGAGCAGTGAATTCATGTAAATATTATCCAGCATACAGGCTGATCAGGCTACAGAAAAGGTGTCTATTCTTACTTGAAGGCTGTTGGATTATTATGAAGTTGCTCTTACAGCACAAGGACTGCAGTGTGTTTTTAATGTTGCTGTTTGCTTAAAATAATCTGTAACTCAATTATGACCTTTTGTATTCAGTTTAAGAGTATGGTTTAATATTATTTCCAGCAGTAGGATTGTTCACATGCCTAAGGGGTTGTAGTGCTGGGTCACCAGCTCCCATTTTGATCAATGCTTGGTGTCAGGGTCATAAGGGAGTAGCACAAGACTCATGCATAGTAAAACTGCTCAGTGGTGCATAACACAACGTTGTTCCATCAACAAAGCTACAAACTCATAGTCACATCCTGATTACACTGACAAAACTGTGTTCTCCCCCACTCTCCTCCCAAAAATTCACATTGAAAACTTATAAAACTATAACTAATGGGCTGCCTCCTCCTATGGTAGGATAGAAAATTTGGTATGAAAAACTCCCATTCAGCTTCCAAGCATGCACATTCTTCTTGAAATTAAATATAGATCTCTTTTTAAGGGTCAATTTAAGGTTAGATCATGACAAGTCAGTGATGATGCTCAGCTTGTTAGCAGAATTTCCCCCTCTCCTCTTTCATCTTCCGGAACGTTATTTTCAGAAAGCTGAACGACCTAAGGACTGAGCAAAGGAAAGAAGTAAATGCAATATTTCTAACAATTTATGTAGTCTCTTTGTCATCACTGAAATGCTCATCTAGAAAAACTTTGAATCATGAATTAAGAAGAACTTGAGAAAAAAATGCAGTTTGCTTCCTTTACCCTGTTCTTAAACAAAAAATGAGGTTCGGGGATTAACTAGAGGTAATCCACCACTAACTGCAGATGATCCTTTTTTTTCTTACAACAAGAGTCCAGTTGAAACACCTGCCATGTGTTGATGATATAAAAACATGCTGTGAGATGGAACCCCTTTTTGCAATCTGGTGAATGTTCCTTTCTTAAAGTGTATATTGAATTTATGTTGATACGAACCAGGAGCTCTTTGACTTTAAAGCACAAAGAATTTTACTATATTTGCAGTAGTTGTAGGACTTCCAAGCTTTACGAAGAACAATTCAGACTACTTGAAGTTCTTTTTCAGCTGTTCTTTGAATTAAGTGAACAGCAGTATTAATCCAGCACTTCCGAGACTTCTGGTGCAGCACTTTGTCAGCTTCCTCAGACATATTCACAGCAATCCCACTGATGAAGTCCTGGAATTGCTTTAACAGCAGAGTGCTGTGCAACTGAAGATGTCTTGGAAAAGGGTCGTATTTTTTCATTTCTAAACAGTTAATTTCCAGACTGGGATTCCATTCAGTGGAGTGGCCTTTTGGGATTGCTTATACGCAGTGGGGAATCCTAAAGGGGACAAACATAATCAGAAACTGAAAATAAGGTGAAACCCTTTCCAGATAAATTAAACAGAACTAAGATGGAAAGATCCTACATTCAGTTTCTAAAACAATATTTCTGGTGCAAACATGATTTTGTGCTTCCGAGTGTTTGTCTCTCTCTATACAAACATTATGGAGCCAGACCTCAATCTCTTACTCGTACAAAGAGCTACTCAAAGATGTAATTCCAAAAAACATTTAGGGTTCTACTTACATAAATAAATATATTAATAAATAAATATGTTTTTGTCTGGTATTAAGAAAAATTTCAAAACTAGAATGTTAATTAAGTTACAGTTAAGCTTTGTTAGTATTTTAATGTTTGATTTCATGAAAAACAAGCAAAATTAGTATTAACTGCAGCATGGTAAAACTTCAGTTTTCTCTGATGCTTTCATTGCCAAGAGAAAGCAAAATCAGGCTTCTTGTTAATTATTTATTGTCTTAGTTCAGCCATGTGCTTGGCTCCGTGTAATAAGCAAACAAAAGGGCAGGTCTTTACCCTGTACAACTTGTAAGCTGAAAAGTGCATGGAGAAAACCAAACAGCTGGGAAATCCCCAAAGAGAAGAAAATGTTGGGAAAGGGCTTGACAGAAACTTAATTCATAGTGTAAAATCTTGCTTATTTGGATTCTGTGGGAGAGTCAAAAAGCAAGTTTTTGATGGATTTGGCTTGGTTGGTTTTTCCATGTACAGAAGCAGAACTATAAATTTAATATAAGAGGATCTATGGGACGTTCTTCTTGGATGACAATTTTCAAGAATCAGTACAGTGTTTCTGATACATATTTCCACCTCAGTGGGTCAAAACCTGAAACCTATACAGAAATGTTTCCTTTTTAATGTATGTTATTTCTTTTGTATTCTTTCATCTTGGCCTTTTTATGTTTCTCTGTTTCTGATCAGGTATCAAAGAGACTGTACAGTATGGGCTGTTACGAAATCTCTCTTGGGGACACAATTGGTGTGGGGACTCCTGGAAGTATGAAAAGAATGTTGGAAGCTGTTATGAAAGAAATTCCTCTGAGTGCTCTTGCTGTTCATTGTCATGACACCTATGGCCAGGCATTAGCCAATATCCTCACAGCCATACAGGTAACTCAGGTTCTTATTTTACAGATATCATAGTAGTAGTCTTAGTTTAATGCAAATGCATGATGTAAAAAAATGCTAGCCTTAAAGAAATTGCTAGAAAAACAAAGACGCTCACTAAACTCTCAGAAAGTATTGCTGACATATCTCATTGTCCACAGGTATTGCTGTTGCTTTAGCAAGAAAATGTCAATTCTTATGTAATTATTACCTTCACTTCCATACAAAATCACTAAGAAACAGTGGTGATTATTATATTCCATTGATTTTGGATGAATGAGGGAGATATTTATTTTTTTTTTCCTGATATCTCAGATTCAACTTTTCTTAGAGACATCTGTATGCTCATTGTTCACTACACTAAAATTTCTGTTTTACAGAGGGGTCTAAATGTACAATAGAATAATGCATAATTACATCTTGATTTCAGATGGATCAATCTAAATTATTGGTGATTATTTACACAGATGGAGTGGTCTAGATAATTTTATCACTGTTAACATGCCTTCAGTAAGCTTTTTTGTGTATCAGTTATACCTTCCAAATAAGATTATCAACAACTTTATATCCCATTTAATCTTCTTTCAAATCTGTGGCTAAATAATCAGAAAAAGTTAATTTCCATAAGAAATACTGTTCCTTTTGTGTTTCTATATTTTAAGAATAGGGCACAATGCAAGAAACAGACTACAAGTTCTAATATAGTTTTTGTAAACATATAATCTTGAAAAATATCTTCATGTGTACATGCATTCTAAAGGAGACCTATTTTTACTAAATGTTACAGAATCAAAAGCTGTTTACAAATCGTAGGCCTTTATTGTTCTGTTTTATACTTAATGGCATCTTCTGCTTCCCTGCAATTCAGGCAGCCGTTTTTAAGGTCAACTTTCCTCTGTCCTGACTCATTATTTTGGCAGAGCTCTATTATGTTATTTAGAAATTACAGCAGTGTCTTAACAGTATTACTAATATAAGCAACAAGAAGGAACAGGAAAATGTTTCAATATGGGAATCTCTGCATGTATTTGATACAATAAGGAATGACAAAATCTGGTAAAAAGGGTTCTAATGTTTACTCTCAGTGTTCACTATTGACCTCTCTCACTTTTACTTTTGCAAATGTGTTTGTATGTACCATGGGATAAATAAATTGTTAATTTCACAGTTAGCTTCAGTTGCACATGTAATAGCTAAAAGCATGAAAACCCTTGAGCATGGGAGGAGTTCGCCATAAAAATACTTGAAGCATTATTTTGCAAATCCTTCCTTAAAATAATTGCTGTCATGGTGCCTACTAAACACTGAATGATGGCTATGCTTTGTTAACCCCAGTATTTGTTGTAAGTGATTTTTGTTTCAGGTTTACCTTCTTCTTCTATCTTTTTATTTATTTCTTAAATCAACTGTGCAAGAGTTAAAGGGGAAAAAAGCTCTTAGGTAACTAATGTGCAGTTCAGGCTAATTAGCATGTAAGTTCAAGAGAGCAATAGACCTAAAAAAATATCCCTTTGCAGCCTTCTCAGATTTCTGGGAAGCCAGAGGTGCCTGAGACCCACCAGAAAACTTCCCTGTGTGCTCCATTTCTGCTACAGTGCATGTCTAAAGGTGTGATGTTTTTGGCTGAGATGAACTTGTCACAGATTTTGCCAAAAGTCCTTGATGAAGCAGGCATTACACAGTCTCTCTGACTGGCTTTGTTCAAGCACCTTCTTGGCTTGCTCTAAAGGTAGGTCTCCAGGTTCTTGGATCCTCAAATGGGTCAGTCCCAACATCCTCTCCTGTCTCTGGTCAAAGAAATGAGGCAGCTAGTGGTGAATTATAGCTGAGCAATATTTTTTCTAACACAGGACAACTTTTACAGGTCAGATGGATGGTAAAGTGCCAAAGCCAGTGGATCAGAGTGCCCAGGTCACTTATGGCCCCCGCTGTCAGGCTTGCCTGTATTTTCCTCTCTGCCAAAGATACATGAATGGCAAAGTACTAGAATAACCCCCTGTCTTCAACTCAGCCATTCATTTCATAGACCAGACTCTCCACAGACTCAATTCTTTATCCTTCCTCCACTATGGGTCTGTGCAACTGACACGGTATTTCATCAGGAGTGAAATGTGTTTGAGGGGTTATAGAAATAATGGACTGGAGTTATTGTTTGAAAAGAAGTTTAAAGAACATCAGCAGGCAAATTACACTTTTCCTAAGACATTGCAGACTACAACATCATGCTGAGTAGTATTGTATTGTATATTGTATTGCCTAAAAATTAATGAATGACAGCTGGAAAGCCACAAATCACTCTGCACTAATTCAGGCATTGCTTCGAAGGGAGATCTCCTAGGAGTGGAAAGAGGTGCGGGTGATTCAGTAAGTGATTTTTTATACAGATCACATTGTTCCATGCAGGATTATACTACCCAGAGTATTTTCTTTTGTTTGGGGCTGATCCAAAGTCATCTAGAACTGACAGGCCATATCTGTATAAGAAATTAGCAGGGAAGTAGCCTTGTAATTTTAGTATTCAGTTTTATGTGTGTTGTTTTAGAAAAAGGATAGGTAGTGAAAGATGGGAGAGAGATTAGCCAACTTTTAAAGTGTAAGTAATTTTTAAAGTTGTTGAAGTGAATTATATAGTTAGAAAGCATTGTCTAGAGAAAGGAAATTAACTTTCTTTTATGAAGAGATTCTGTGTAAAAATTTGAGGATCATGAAGTGATGCTTCAGAGCAAAACATTTACAGTAGAAACATGACTGGCTCTTGGTTAAATGGTTTAATATAAAAATATCAGGGTATACAATTTATCAAAGAGACAAATTCAGAAGATGGGAAGTGGTGTGGCAATCTAGTTAGAGGTTGTGGTATTTTGAGTAAAATTACATATGTGGCTTAGCTAATGTGACAGACACAAAATATAGCTAAAAGAAGTAGTAAAATATTTACAGGAAATAGTTGCAGACCTACAAGGAAGGGTAAAAAGATGGGTCAGGAAACTTCTATGCTGGAGAGGCCCCAATAAGGTAGATCATTGATCTGAGGAGATTTGACTTACCTTGACAATTGACTCCCATAATGTGTGCAGAACAGGTAAGAAGGGGGAAGTTTTTTAATGGAAGTGATACAGAACTGTTTTCTTGCATAGCTTGTGTAGTTGCCAGAAATAGCTTTGTCTGTTTTCATAGGACATACCTGAACATAAGAAAGAATATGCTAAGAGGCAGAGAGGAGTTTTGGACAGCAGTGATACCTCAATAAATGAAACAATCTAATGGTAATCTCATAGAACTTTTATCAAATTGAAATCGCTCTTGTAATTCATTAATATAAACTGATCCCTACACTACTGGGATCAAGCCTAACTTAAGAGAAAAAAAATGAAAATTACTTACAGGGGTCAAGGATTCTTACCACTTTGTGTAATAATTTCCACTTTAATGGACACAATGAGATTGATGATTTGCCAAATGAAATTACTTTCTGTTAGTGCTTTCTTTACCCAGAAAACAGGAATTTTGAAGTGAAATCCACATTTTAATACCAGAAACATAATGTAGCAAGCCTCTAATTAAACTTTCAAGGTTTGGACTGCAAAATCCAAATTTGTGAATACAGTTTTTCATTACAAACATTATAATAGATCCCCTTTACAGAGAATTCAAAATTTTTAATAATATTTCATTAATATATTTAAGATCCTTGAATTTTAAAGATTAAATAAACTTTTAAAAAAAAAATCCAAACAGAAGTGGTTTGCTGCTGACCTCTTCCTTTCATCACTCAACTAAATGGATTCTAGTCCCTTTGCTGCATGCTAGAGAGACTAACCAACTTGCATATTTTTGTGCACCAGTTTACTTACGTAGTAAGGACTAGGTTCACACAAAGGCATTCAGTGATGATATGGCTGTTTTAAGTGATGGAATTAGGGGAGGAATCTGATTGTAGATGCTGAAGGTCATGGTTTATTAATTCACCAGGATCATTGTGTTACAGGAGTAGAGTTCACAATGGCCAGCAGCCTGAAATGGTAGAGCCTAAGTTAAGCAACAGAAAAAAGTCTGTGTTTAAAATTCCCTCCTCTGTGATTCATGTGAGCTTACATGTGAAGCCTTGGGTGAAATGAATTTTCCACACAAAACCATCTCCTAGATGTAAGTACCTAGCTTGTCCTTTTTTTTTTCTTTTTTTTTTTCTTTTTTTTTTTTCAAATACAGGATTTGCTGTTTGTGGCTGTTTAGCTTGCCTGTAGCAACAGGCTGTCAAAGCCCCTTTCAGCTGGTGGTTAGCTTCCTGCCAAGATCTCTTGTCCAGAAGCTGCTTGCTGCTATGGAGCCTCAGTGGGGGCTCCCCCTCTTACTTGGAGGTGGCTTTAAACCTGAAGCTCTTGTGCTTAGCCCTCACCTGAGCTACTCTGCAGCAGCGTTGCAATTGTGCTTGCTCCCAGTCTTGCACCTCCCTGATTCTTACCCTCATCCTCACCCACTGGTTTAGCTTCAGGCCTGGCTGATCTGCGACTGATCCTGGTTACTGTTTCCAGACCTGATCCTGACCTTGAATTGCTGACTCACCTTCCTGGCTCTTTTTTGGTGAGGTTGCTGCTGTGCCTGCCTAGCTGTGACTCTTGGCTCCTTGCTGGCCTTCCTTTATGAATGAACAGGTTGTCCTTGCTGGTGCTCAAGACAGTTGAGTCTTCAGAGGAGGAACTAGCAACCAATATTTTGAGCTTTAAGGATGGCTCTGAATGGCAGATAGTTGGAGTGGGTGCTGAGCTGGGACATTCAGCACCTGTGAGAGTTAGCAGGTCTCATGCACTTTGATCTTGGAGCTCATCTGGAGGCTTTGTCTTGCAGAGAGGCAAGATACTTGATACTCAGTTAAATCCAGAAAGCATTTCCTGTTGTCTGGCTGTACACAAAGCCCTGACAGTTCTGCACTGTGAACTCTGTTGGGTCAAAAAAAGAGCCCAGAAATCAGCCTGAGGAATTGCTGTCTGTGTCTGACAGAATTT